TTCAAAGCAGACAGCAATCTTCTGCAACGTCCAGGTTTGTTTAGTATCTTGAGGCGTGTCAGAAGGTGTTAAAGATTGCACATAAATACGTGAAAGCCAACAAGTGGTAGAAGGGAAGATTAAGCAACCACAGAAGAGGTGGTGATAGCAACAGAGAGATAGCGCAAATACACAATGGAATAAAAACACTTTACATATAAATTAACTTCCGCCTATCCAGATGGAGAAGGAAAGCACCACTTAAGCCATTCGAAGCCTTCGTGTTAGCAGTATTGCAGGAGCCAGTTGAATCTTACACCACTCATCCTCCAATCCACCTCCTCCTCATTTGTCCTCCAAATGCTCACACACACACGAATTTATGCGAGTTAAAAAAGAAAAAATCCAACTTGGTCGATCATAATTCGCGCCACAGTTGCAACAATGCAATAAAATATGCGCAATTTTTAAATCGCACGCCACTGGGAGATTGCGTGCTACACTACCCCAAGAGGCGGAGGCAACCTGGTTTCACGCATGCACGCGAGCGCTCGCGCAATGACGGAGATGATGTCGCTGATGATGCTGATGCTGATGATGATGCCATTGCTACTGCTGCTGCTACCGGGGATCTCAAACAGACTCAATTTTTCATCCCATCTCACCCCCCCTCCATCATTCGAGCAGGCTGTGGAGAGCCAATCGGCGCACAGTGTGGCCACGGAAAGGCGTATAAGCTGATGAGATATGAGAACTTTGCTGGCGTTAACCGAAGTCAAATGTGCACGGGCCAAGTGATTGGGAAATTTATTCTTTGCCTTTACTTTTTGAAGGGGTCAATTTGTGCAGAGGGGAATGAGCATCGAGATAGACGACATATCACCAAACAACAATACCTTGTGGGTAAGTGTGACTCAATTATTTTTTGCAAAAAAAAGATTTTTTTACAAATAAAAACATCGGCTCTTTTAGGGGCTATCGAGGAAGTTTATTAATACTCCATTTGCTGTGATGCATTTTCTGTAATATCTGACTAGTAAAAATATTTTGGGTTAAAAGTGGAGATTCTATAGTCAATTGTGAGCTCCTGCATCGGTGGAGCCTTCGCAATCTTTCTGAAGGGGAAAAAAAGGAAGGACAAATTCGCCCATAGGCATCAACTTCTCGACAGACATGCGAGCATAAAATATTGAAAATGGGGGGTGAGGATGGTGAAAGGTGACAGAACGCTGCTATAAACTACATTAATGTAGAGGCTTTGCTGTAGTCGACTTTGGCGCAAAAGGCCGAAAGTGACCAGCAGGTTAAAATCATAACAACAAAAGTGGAAAAATTTATTCTAAGGTCATCTCACTTCCCACCGGTAATCGTAAGTTTCCTCTTCAAATTATAACCTCGCAGCATGTCCTCCATTTGAGGTGTCTCATAAGTCAACCAAGTGACAAGCAACCTCTACCATTCACCAAATGGGAGGCAACTATTGAGGGCGCATGTGAAGCCTTTGTGGCTTAGCAAGCAAGTATAAGTACGCGATGTCAGTCAATTGACAAGGTCCCCACCAACTACTTTTCCCCCTCCATTACAGAAACGCCCTATTTTAGTGTTCTAGAAGATTCTACTAGAGTCGTGACGACTTCGACCCTGCCTGCATGGAAGTGTTGGGCGTTTTGTCAGTACTCGCACACATTTCAAGGGGCGAGAGTATTGCGTAACGTCGTGTTTCCACTCTGACACCCAAAAGTGAACTTCTACAGGCGTAACCATCCAGGTTGTGAGGTTTCTCACGAGATCACATATTAGTGGATGAGAGTATTTTGCAAATTCACGTGATTGAAGTCACACAGAATGCTAGAGACGCTGTGGGGTTGGATCAGGTAAGCCATTCAAACACCATACTTGGGTACTTATTAGCAATTCTGATCCCTGCTATCCTCCACCCATCGTAAAATGAGGTTTTATTTCCAAACCTGTGTAATAATCATCCGGAATTTGGATTTACTAGTCATGCTACTAAAAATTTAGCCACCTTATTTTCAGGTTCCATCTTTCAAATGGATGCTCGCAACACCACCGAGTACAACGCCTTTAAGAGTTATCCCAGTTCGGCATCCTTGTTGTGGCAGAACTTCCAAATTAAGGAGAAAATCGTTCATGTGAAAGACACCCACGATAGTTTTCAGATGGCCAGTGCAAGTAAGCTGCCATTTGTATCAGCGGCCTCACTTCAAGTGGATATTTTAGTGACAGCTATAAAAATATTTTGCCACCTTAGTTTTAAACCTCGAATTAGACAACGCGGCATATTGTTATTCATTATAATAATATTTCAGATCATTAAAGGGGCAAGAGGATCAATGTGGAGTAATTTTAAGCCTCCGAATGCTGAGATACACCTCGCTACTGAATTCGATTTCAGCGTTTAAGTTAATTTTTCAAATTACATAAGGCAGAGAGCGTAGTGTACCAAAAAGATCCCAAAAGTTGACGAACTCTGCAATGATATTCGCTCCAGTAATGTACCACGCTTGATTTTCGCCTTAAAAGTTTTGCGTAAAGTCGTAGAACACAATGGTAACTCTTTTCGCATGATCTACAGACTTCATTAGACACATTACGAGTGTTGCTGTATTCACACTGGCTTACTGCTAGTCTACTTGTGTCAGCTCAATGGACTGTATGTAAAAGTCGAAGTACCATATGTGGGACATTGTCCCTCCTTTTACGTCAAAGCCACGTAAAATGGCGATTCTTAAAACAAGTCAAGAGGTGAGGAAATCGGGAAAAGGGCAGCACAAGAGGTCAAAGTTCACAATGCGTTATAGTAGGGACGAGACGCTGCCCTATGCCTTGGCAACTGCATGATCACATGATAAGTGCGTTGGACTACTAAAATAGGAATGCGGAGGAGGATAGGACGAAAGAATGGAGTGCTGTTCAGATTTTCTTTCATAAAGTGATTGGGAAGTCACTTTGGTGGGCGGAAACGGGCAACCTTGCATCAAAGGGATTGCACCCCATCATATTTTGTTTTGCATGATGATGCTTAAATTAGGTTATTATAGCTTTAGCGTTCGCTCTGTTCGCAGGATCTCGTAGTGGTCTGGGCCAAAACTAAATTCCCTCATGTCTTGGCGTGGTTGTTTCTCAAACGCAACTGCTTGGTCCTTAATGTGTGAAGCTTTTATTCTCAGTTTGGCACACACCCACACAAACATACTCAGACAAGCATATAGGACCACGCTATTCATGTCTGAACTTGTAGCGAGAAGTAGGATGTGTACTGAAAGCATCGAGTGCGTTGTGAAACACTGAGAGGTGACTAGTGACTTTCTAAACTATCATTTGGTCGGAAGAAGATCTCAAACCCGCGATTGTGAAGAGCTGCATCCAGAGAGTTTTAAAATGCTTATGAGCTTACTCATACACAGCGGCAATTCCACATTCCAATGGAGGAGGGAGAATGTTTTTGAAAGCGCAGTATTTCTGATAAATCTAGTGGTTAAGTTAAACTGCTCAAACCATTTATCCCACCCTATCATTTATTAGAAAAGTGTGTTTAAGTATTTGTGAAACAAGAAACCTTGCTTTAAACCAGCTCGTATCAGAGCCAATATCAAACTTTGCTCAAATGTCAAAATTTGAGCGAATCTTTACAACGCTGTAATCACTAAAATGGTGTCGAGGTCAACATGGGCAAATTTTGGGCCTTTAATATAACATGAGACACGTTCCTACTGAAATCGATTTCAGCGACTAGGTTAATTTTAAATATATGTCTAGTTTGTGAACTAGTGGCAGAGAGCGTGGTAGCAATCTTTGCTCCAGTGTACCCGGAGACACTTACAATTGTCAAGTCGATGGCAACGCAGCATCGTGTCCTATTTTTTACCACCGCTGACGCCCACCATTTCGGAACTGGTGCATTGGATCTCAGTGGTGCAGCAAATATTGTAAAACTGCAACCACTTAAAGCGCCTGCTATGCTGGATTTTATGATGCATGCTGAATGGGAGGACGTCCTCTACCTCTACGAATCAGAGGAAGGTTCGTTAATCTTCTTTTCAAAAGATATTTTAAGTGATGGATAAACAGTTGACGTAAAAATGGACGCTGAACTCAGGTGTATCAGCGTGGCACTTTGGCTCCGCTGCAAATGGACTGGGCAAATGTACAATTTTTTAAATGCGATTTGCCAAATTTACAATAATTCGCTAGAAATCCTTTCAAGGCCTACAGTTTTATACGAAAAACTTAGAGCGGAAAGATCAGATCCGAAACGTGGAGGTGGAATAACGCCTTCCTGCTTATGATTGCCCACAAGACGGTTTGTAAGCAGGAAAACTACGCCTCACATCTCTTTTGTCCTTTATAGCTGCTTACAGACTGCGATGGATCCTTGAAAAAGCCATTAAATGCTCACCCACCTTTACTGTCGACTTCCGACAGCTTCGATGGGACTCGGAGGCGTCGGCTGATGGAAAGAGTGGCGGTAGTGTAGGAGCTGGATGTACAGGCCTGAGACAGCACGTAAATTCCCGTACCAACACTTTCTATCGCAAATCCATCCTGGTGGATTTATCAAAACGAGAGAGCACAGAGAAACTCATAGCTGCTATTGGATCCATTATGCCACAGCGCGCTGATTTGCACTTCCTCATTGTCGGAGGGGTAGGTGATTGACACCCTTCTCCGAATAGTCCTTTGTTTTTTTGCGTTTTGAGCAGTCTGTTAGTGCCTTTGGTCCACAGGATTGAAAGTTGTTGTGGATGGATGGGTAGAAGGGTGTATTATGCACTCTTTCTGCCAAGTTAACCTCAGAAATGTATGCAGGGCGCTTATGAATGGTCCTGCGACTGGATGAAAGGCAAATCACACAGGTGTCACGAAGAGGAGGCCGTGGAGTCTTCATTACGGCGTAATACCAAGCCCGCTTATCCATCGCAAAGGCGGAGACTCAAATGTCGGTGGAGACGTACACACTGGAGGATGATTACATAAGCTTCCTATTAATGTCGTAAATCCTGATTAAAATGGCGAAGTGTTAACAGGTAAACTCATAGCACTCCAAGCCTTCCTTGAGGTCGTGAAGGTACGAAGTGGATGGTTTGGGCACACACTACCAAGGGTGGGGACGACTTGAGGGACAACTTCGAAGACGTTATCGAGTCACGTATTCGCGTTAAGTCGCATGTATCACCCAAATTTGCTGGCAATGCGGCACTGGTCTGAGCAAATCCATTGTCAGCAGCCTTCAAGTGTCACACGAAAAAGGAAAAGACAGCCCAGCCGTACAATAATTTTATCTGCCATCTGATGAGGAAGAAATGAATTTGAAGGGTTTGCAAAGAGGAGAGTATTTTAGCGCTGAAAGTTAAACAATTAGCAGAGCTTATTTGAATTTAGTAAGAAAGAGTTTTAAAGATGCTCTGGGGATGCATTTGTCACCTCAAAGGCGGAAGGAGGAAAGGCGATTGTGGCAAATTGGACTAATCACGCAAAATATGAGAAGAGAGAAGTGACTAAGCTGACACATTTTGTGGATTAAAGAGTTCCCCTTGATTTTGACACAAATTTTACTTCCTCAGCCGCTAGCGATTACCTGTCCATACTTCTACCGCACTGATGGTTCTTAACTGGACCTCCTCCCGAAATTTTTAATATCTTTTATTACCTACGTAGCTTCCTCAGTATTGGGAGGGAGGTGCATTCCATTCCAAAGCCTCCAAAATTTAAATTTGATGTCGTAATTGCGACACACGTACACTAACCATGTGTCATTGTCCCAACACGAACACATCGAGGAATTCCGAGACCTCAAAGCCGAAGTACACCGCAAACCACAAAGTGGATCTAAAACTTGTACAAACATTATACCCACTAGATTGCTGTTGAGGCCTGTGGATCCGCAAATATTTTCATAATATCATCCTTACATTTGAGTGCGAAATGCGTTTTAAGGTTAAAAATACATCTGTTGGGAAGTACTTGCAATTATATAATCACATTTTGCTAATCTTTGCAACATACTCAGCAAAGTGCTTACTTGTCTGGCAAGTTTGCATTTTTACTTATTAACAGGACATAAAGTACATCAATGACAGTTCCTTGCAATTCGGTGGCATCAATATGACGGCCTTGGCTGACATAGACTTTGACTCAGTGGCGTTGAAGGGGTACAAAGCCGAACTGAATCCACGCGCTCGTCTAACCGATATGACCAATGGAAATCTATCGGTGAGGCGCTTTCTGTCTTACCCTTTAAGAGCTATGTAGTGTGAATGATCCCCTCATATGTCTCCTGAAAGAAACAAGCCTAAAAATATTGTCTTAAGGAAAACTTGTTTATTTAAATTGTTTAAAGTTGTGAGATTAAATGGCGGTGAGGAACAACCGATGACAATTTCATTCATTTAGCTTGACATCCCTTTGCATACATTAGACCGGCGTTATACAACCAAACATAAAAGCTATATGTGGGTGATTACTATTTTCCTTAACAAATAGTGGTAGCATAATTCTAAACTTTTGTAGGATTTTATAATACAGTCCATACAGTCCATTTCCTGATTTACTTTATTTTGACAAACTTTAAGCAGCATTCTTGTACTGTTCCTGCGCTTGCACCAGTCTTACCTCCTGTATCGGCCGGGTTGCATTCGTGACTATTTTTAGACTTCACCTTATTTTAGACTGAAGCCGCACTACTCATTGATGGAATGAAAAGTCTTGTTCAAGCTCTGAGCCTCCTCAATGAAGATGTTTATGCGGGTCGTATCAGCAGACCTGGCCTCTATACTAACGGTGAGACCGCTACGGCTGGAAATCTGCCTTGCCAGCCAACCTCGCCACCTCCGTTTACGGCTCCCCAAATAATGGAAAAATTGCAGCAAGTAAATTTTAAATCTTACACTACTTATAAATTTCAGTAACAATTTTCTACATGTTTGCTACAACTATTTAAAACCTGTTGCGTGTCCACCTTTGCCCATCAATGCATACATGCGCATATGCAAACTTTATGACGACGCAAATCCCGTGATCGTTTTCGCTCCTCAAGATAAGCGTTTCTTCTCAAGAACAATACTGAATGTATATAAGTAATGGCCCAGCAATGAAAGCCCAGAAGTAGTTTTAAAATTGCTTTTATTTGAGGATATTTTTGCCCGACGTAAACAAAATTTTCAAACCTTTTAAACTGTTTCGGATGCTGTGGAAATGCTAGTGCTCTGTGTGTGACATACGTCACAAGAGTTCAAACAACGAGGACAGCCCTTCTGAAGTCCGTTTTCTGCGTCTACGCTTAGGGAAATGCATGGATAGCACTTTATAATCAAACGCTAACATTAATCTTCGTTTGAAACTTTAAGCTTACGAGATGTACATTGCAGCTAGGTGCTTGTTAAGAAAACAAACTTACGACTTCAATGTTGTCACTTTTTGTTTGTTCTTTCTATCCAAAATGAACCGGAAGTGTAAGTTTTCATTTTTTTACAACTGCATATGCAATTCATTTTTCTTACTTAACTTTTATTAATGAAAATGTTGTCGCAAGCACTACTCGTCCGTTCGTGTTCTGACCGTAGATAGTGTTTGCGGGATTGACAGGGAACATGAGCATCAGCAAGAGTGGGTTCAGGGATGCCTATGCCTTTCATCTCTGGGGCGCCAAGATGAAACAATCATTTGCAAAGGTAAGCGCCCACCTTTACACTTTCAACTACACAAATAAGAAAATAAGTTATTCATTAACCCCTTAGAGTTTGTTAATCTTAGACCTTGTAAACTTTCACATCAAAGTTGTCAGCTTCGAGCAACTGCTACCATCAAAGGTCTTCATTCAGTCATGCGACCGATCCACCTGTCATTACTGATCTTCCACCTCCACACAGGTCACTTCTGTACCAATTAAGCAATCAAAACATTTGTTGTTCATTTACAATAAGTTATCAGGGCGATATCTCAAAAGTCATCGCCTTTAAACGCATCCACTCACAACTATCGCCATTCCTTCGGTGTCCCATCCTTACCAGGCAGAAAGCATCACACCGGCACTCGACACTGCCACGACTGCAAACTCAAATAATTGGTGCAAAATTGCATCTGGAGCACATTAAATCACACTTAATGGTTCAAAGCATTTAAAAATTAAAGAATAGAAAGTATTTTTTGGATACACTCAGGCAATCACTTGTGTCTAAGGTCGTACAAAGGTGAACGAGGTCATGACTCTACACTCTAGTGATTTATTAAGGAGGCGAACTGGGCAGGTAGCACCAGGTCGGGGCCAAATTTACTTAAAAAAAGTTAGAAGCACCCACAGGAGGGTAAAAGGCATTTAACATATTTAAAAGTATCAACTGTGTCCAGACATTCCTTACGAGGCACTAGCTTTAAATAAAATTACAAGGTTTATCTAATGGGCGTTAAATTGTAACCACAGGCGGGAAAGAAGCGTTGTTTACAGGTCTTAATTAGCGTCTTAGCGTGCATTTCTTGCTCCCTAACCCAAACAATTGAAAGAAACTTTCAAAGGATGAAGAATTCAATGATGACCATGATGATGGTGATGGTGGTGGTGAGGAAGGAGGAGGAGGAGGAGGAGGCGGGAGATTAATGCGTTGTATGTCTGAACGGCTCACCTGACTACGCCCACAGGAACAATCGGTTCAGCTAATAATTTTGTTTATCTGTTCAAAATCCACATCAACCGCCAGACAGATGGCCAAACAGCTGCCCAAAGAGTTTACAATGTCTAAGTTTAACAATTCCTTTTTTATTATTTATTTTAGGAAAAAAGTCTAGATTTAAGTTGATGTGAAGACTTTAGGTTTGTTTAGTAGGCAAACAACGGCCTTCTCGACGATAACTATACCTGTGTTGGGATTTGCCCTTAACAAAAGCAGTGGATTCTATCCTCCTCACAAAAACTAAATAGGCGATTATAAATCTAAATTATTTCATTCCATCACATTACCAGCTCCTGAGAATAAAGCTGCGAGACAAATGAGCCTACTTTTTGTTAAAGGAAAAAATTTAAAAAAAAAAAACGACCTTACCAAGTCTGACAAGTTTTTTTTTTGCCTTTTAAGTTGGGAGAGTGGAATTCCCAAGACGGCATTGTGATGAAAGTCTCCACAGGTAAAAACGACTCGGAGGCCAGTGTGGATCTCAACAAGATTCGAATTGTCTCCAGCATTTTGGTAAGTCACGCCACAATTACCTGCGCTTTTAAATGGTGTCGAAGTCGCCTTGAACAGTATTGCGACAACAAAATGACGGTTGACCGCAATGTGGTGGATGCGATTTGAGAGTATCAGCCTTGAACGTGGAAAGTTTAGCTTCTCCCTGGATAGATGGCTTAATGTGATGGTGGTAGTGAAATTTAAACCAGCATTGTGATGGATGAGACATCACAGTTTTATGGGTCATACAAAAGGCATTAATGAGAAGGCAAAAAGATGGAAGAAAGGAAAAAGCACTGGGGTGGATGCACTTGGCTTTTCATTTGCATTGACAGATGGCTGTGGTCCAATTTTGATTGTCCTCACTTAGACTCCTCCAGGCTGCAAGAAGGCGATAACTGTTCGGTGGACTGATTGCTGTCCTACTTGCAACCTCCCAACTTGTGTCAGTCTGTACGAAAAATTCCTCCTCAAGACGCATTTCAAGCTCAATTTTGTCTTTAAAGTTAAAAAAATGCCTAAAAGAGGAGATGCAGAACTCAGCAACTCAAAGCTCCTAAACATGTTGGTCAAGTAAAGTGGGAATTGGCTCTCCTCCACGAGTGCCTCAGTGTACCAGTCCTTAACTCTGATTGTTTTTGCCTGTTGGTAATTAGCTAATCAGCTTTTTTTTTGATGAATCGCCATTTGCCTACACTTGGATTCATCAACCGGCGCCTCACACCCCATCCCAGTTCCACTCCCCTGACGCCTCACTCATCTCCCTGAGCCTGTTATTAGCACCTTCACTTTTGTAGAAGTAGTCCGATGTGGAGACATTTCAGTTGTTATGGTTTATCCACAGTGCTGATCCACTTCAAACCTTTACATTCATCAGCCTTGGCCTCCCCAACCCGTAGCGAAGGCAAGTGGATTGGCTACTTGGCTACACTATCAACAATCAACTCATTGTTGCAGTAAAAAAAAACGAGAAGATTATAAAAATCACTCAGCTTTCCCAACTAGTCAACCAGATAATCAATTTAATTTTAGAGTGTGTCATACTTACACACCCACATTTTGACTTTGTTGGCTATCATTAAGGAACGAGGGGAGAGGACAGTGGCTCTACGTGTGTGTCGTTCAAAAAAAAAGGGGCAATAATGACTTGGAGGTGCTATAATTAACAACTAGACCACCAAGAAACAACGATATCTTTGCGGCCTAGGAAAAGCACACCTTTTGTATTGAGATAATCTCCCCTAGGACTGCCGTGACCACCAAAGAAGGAATCTTAGAAGGATTTATTTGTTATGATAGACGAATTTCGGGGTGAAAAAGCACAATTCAATGAGGCGAGTCTTCACAACAACCGCCCTCATTTTGTTCACTTAAACAAAGAATTCAAATAAAAGTAGAAAGAATAAAATGTGGCTCTACAAGATGCTACTACAGCCTTTATAAAGTTAAATGCTTTTGCGCATCAAAAGTTGGGAGAAGGTGCTTGAAAGACGGAGGCCAAATCTGGCGGTGGTGGAGACGTTGGTGAGGAAATGCTTTCAAACTACTGCTACTGCTACTCCTTCTTCTTCTCCTCCTTCTCCTCTCTCCTTTCAGCTATCGCCATTCATGATGGAGAAGAAGGACGTGAATGGAAACCCTATTAAAGGCGAGTACGAGGGCTTCTGTGTGGATTTGATCCAGAAGTTGGCTGAGATGATTAAATTCAAGTACAAGATGAAAGCTGTTGCTGATGGACAATTTGGCAGTCTAGTCAATGGCACTTGGGACGGAATGGTTGGAGAGTTGTTGAGAAGGGTGAGCAAGTATTGGTTAACATTTATTTCCTTTCTTATTAAATGACTGAAGTTAGTTTGACTGAAACTTACTAAACACAAGTGTACAACAAACCTCGACACTTTTGAGGTGCACCTTTCACTTGCTTAACCTCACCAATTACGTTTGAAGAAAACTCCACATGCCAAAGACTTGGTGGAGTAAAAAAAAATGGGACAATTATGAGAATGACTCTTTTAATACAACGAGATTGTCATCGCTCCTTGGAGAGCCTAGTAAGGCAACCGTGCTTGACGTCAGCTTAGCTGGACGGTAAAATACCGATGTCAATGGAGGAGTGGCATAAACGTCTTCACAAATACGCAACCATGGCCGGTGCTAATGTCCTCTTTAAGCCTCTCCCGTGACTTTGCATTGATGAGACGATGATCTCTTGCCAGTCTATTTCACTTGAATCCACCAATTTTCTTCCATAAAGTTAAGCATATTTGTTGATTGGAAGGAGGCACCTAGTAAGACACGAGACTCCCGTCTAGATCACTTCAACGCAGTCTTACTTTTTTTAACCCAATTAATTCTCAAAAATATGGGTAAAATTGTCCATAAAAAATGACTCAACCTCCGCCATCAGGGAACAAAGGAGAGCCTGACAGAAAATTCCATCAAACACAGCGGCATCAACATCACCCCACATTCACAATGAACCGACGACTGCTACCTCGGCACCAGAAGTAGTAGGTTTGGAGGCAGTCTGTCACGCCACGTATTTCACACTCCGGTACAGATTATCTCTCCTATGGATGGAGAAGCATTTCCCTCCGATTATGCAAACTTTGTAAAAAGTGGTTAAACTTTTCCGCATCTTAAATCAAATCGCCAAACAGAGTTTTGGAGGAGGCAACGTTTTAACTCATAATCACAGACGATGGAGGAATAATAATAGCGCTCTTCGGTGTTGCTTTACATCGATCGCATAAAAGTAGATTCGTATCAACTTTATGTCTTTTTTAATTAAAACGCTCACTCCTCTAAGGCGGTAAAATTAGGTGTAATAAAACCAGGTTGCGGCAAGGACAATAATAACCGTCGTCTTTTGTATTCGCATAATCTACTATACGACTTGTTTTTCCCCAAAGCAAAGTCACTGACCTTTTGAAGTATGCGATGTGTTTGCCAGAGTGTGAAACTCGTCTTATGTATGCGTTATTTTGCAGTCATCCAGTCAGGTGGAATTGCTTGGTGCATTGTAATCCCTCGGAGAGGGACGTTAAGGAGACGGAGTTTAGTAGGCACGAGTTTTTACAACAAACTTGTTCAAGGTGACGGTAGTTTCAGCACAAATAAACTTCACCGATCAAAACATTCGCTGGTTGTAAACTTGAAAATGAATGGTACAGTTTTTGGCTTAGGCTATGAATCTCTTCACTCATGCTGTCGCATAGCGGTGACCGAGTCTTTCCCGATTCTACGAGCAGGACTAATACTGAAATTTACCAATTAAAATTAATCTAAAGCGGTGTAGGAAAAGCTATCCTTTTCTCTCCAAGTTGTCAGGACTGCTAGTCCAGTCGAGAGAAATGTATTGCCATAGCCTTGTTAGGCAATGCATGACCTTGAGTCCTAAAACCGCATGGTCAAATCAGGATGAAAGGAGAATACAAACGAGTAAGCCTATCCCCATCCCTTGGGCGTGTAATCTGGTCATTACTGTCAGACCACTACACTAAACGCCAGAAGCTAGGTTTAGGATGTTTTGGGACCCAAATAAAGGACTCTTGTCTGAAGCCGCGGTCTTATCCAATGGGAGGGCTCCTCTGCGTCAAGGTCTTCTGGTTGCTATGCCACGCATCATGGTAATCTAATAGCCTCACCTTAAAAGATTTTCTATCACTTTTGCCAGAAAAACCAACTTTACTGCTATACTGCGACCTCTTTCATCAATAATATACAAAAATGAGATGGTTCTATTAGTTCTAGTTGTCAACTCGTCTCGACTTGAGGGAAAGTTGTTAGAGAAGGGAATTGTAAGTAGCGTAGAGAAGTGAATTGCTATTCAAAGGTGCTGTTACGATGCATGAATGATGAAGATGGTGTTGGAGGAGGCAAGAATGCGTTGACTGGTAGTGTCACTCAGCTCTCCAGCATTCTCTTCTTCCTCCACCTCCTCCTCTATCATCAATTGCTGGCGCAGAAGGGCGGAGGATATTGAGAAAGCGTAAATTGGTCATAAAAATGAATAATTTATTTCTAACATTAACACAATATTCCATCTAAACGTTGCTATCGAGGGGCAAAAAAGATGTCGATGACCAGATGCTAAAGTCGCTGTAAATTTTCTCTTTGCCTCGACACTTGGAATAGGGCGAATGCGTGGCCAAGGTAGCCGAATCTCCAACTGCAAAACTGTAGTATTTCTGGACTGATGAAAAGTGTCACTTTAAAATCCTCTAATTAAAATTGTTGGCCATGAGGACGGTTGGTTTACATCTTAGACTAAATCTCTGTTGGTGGGTGTTGTTTGCCAACCTTAACAAAGGAGGCGCCCTCTCTTAGAATAGGCATGCTGGAATGCAGTGACGCATTAGTGAGGGAACCACTTCGGCCGAGGTGCCACCTGACACCTGAGTTTGCTATTATGATTGGAGCCCACCACGCCGCATGAACAAGTGAATTTTGATGTGGTAACATCGCTACAGTCTCACACCTCTTCTTCATCAGTGTTGCCTACCTCTGGTCCCGTTTGACACCTTCAGTAGAGGATTAAAAATTGAAGGTTTAATTTGATTTTGTTTACAGGAAGCAGACATTGTTGTGGCTCCACTAACCATAACATCCGATCGTGAACGTGTAGTGGATTTCACTACACCCTTCATGGAGTTTGGACTCTCTGTGATGTACCAAAAGATCGATCGTCCTCATCCAGATCCTCTATCCTTTATGGAGCCTCTTTCAACAGAAATTTGGATGTGTATCTCCTTTGCGTACCTCGGTGTCTCTGTTGTCCTCTTTCTTGTCAGTCGTCTCTCACCTGCAGAATGGGGAGCTCCATTGAATAATTTCAAGACTTTGGCAGATCCCAACATGGAGGGGGACGACGGCGATGGAGCAGTGACCATCACTCACACAGACAGTATCTTCTCAATATTCAACAGTTTTTGGTTTGCATTGTCAACTTTTGTTCAACAAGGTGGAGATATTGTTCCAAGGTGAGTAATCACAATAATATGACCTGTTAGCATTTAAATATTTCCCTAAGCAGAGCATACATTTTAGTGTATTTTTTTGCATTGTTTGCAACAAAGCAAAAAAAAAATGTCAAACAACCTTAAGCGAGACCATCAAGATTGGACTGAGCAATGTGATTGGGAAATGTCACTCGACTAAACTCCATCGTTGATACCTTGACCGTAACTTCTTCTGCGAAATATGAATTCGCAAAACGGGGCTCCTTCACTCCCTTCCACTGCCTCGTGTCTGCCACTTTCGTCTGCCACCAGTCATAAATTAGTGTGTAGGTGTTCTCACCACCTACACTGCCACCTTAGTTTGACCTGCTACTGACCGCACAAGAAGTAATGGATGTGTGATTGGTCAAAAGGCAATGACACTCTGCATTAGAACAATGGAGAGTGAAAACTGCGACGGACACTGTTCGCTGTAACGAAAGAAGTTAATTGAGAGCTGGAATAAATAAAAAAAGAACAACTTAGGATATTCGTGGGTACCTGCAAGTTTAGCTGGCAATTAACTTTCCATTGCCATGACAGGTCTCTTTCAGGACGAATAGTGGGTGGTGCATGGTGGTTCTTCACCCTCATCATTGTCAGCTCCTACACGGCCAATTTAGCAGCCTATTTGACTGTGGAGAGGATGACAAATCCCATCCAATCCTACGAGGACTTAGCAAGACAATCCAAGGTCAAGTATGGAATCATCAAGTCGGGTTCAACGAGGGATTTCTTTGAGGTGAGCTATTCGGTAAATACGAAATTTCATCCTTAGGCGCACACCTTCTTTCAGGTATATATGTCGTAAAATGTCTAGTCTCTCCGAATCCTTGTTTTAATTGTTCCAAATCAGAGCCTTTCTTAGGCAGTAGCCTTCTTGAAGGCTTGTGCTGCAATCCGATCCCCACGAAAGGATCTGAGAGGGTTTCAGGTGTTGAACTGTCACACCATCTTTCACTCCAACACCCAAATTCTACCTCATATCATTGGGGATCCTCGTTGTGAAGTCATTATTGAATGTGGCCAATCAATGCATCCATCTTTATTTGTCTTTTTCGATCGTTCTACGACTATGGGCATGAATAAACCATCACTACCTACGCCGTCCCAGCCTTGTCAACATCATCAACAACAGCAACAACTAAATTCTCCACATACTTCCTCGTGAACAAAATGGTACTTTGTTTTAAAATCGCCTATCCATTAGTCACCTTTTGCCGCCATCACTAACAACAACACCTACGCCTCCTCCTCTTCTCCCTCTGTCATTCAGCATCGTCGGCATCATCATCATCATCAATTGCAAAATTATTAAGACTTTATAATCAAAAAAACGGTACCTTGATAAAAGATTCCTTCACTACTACTC